GGGAGAGCAATGGAAAAGATATCCCGGGGTAAGACAGTCATTGTCACAAAGCATGATGTTCCCATGAACATCCAGGCCACGGGTGTAGAAGCACCCATGTTTACCACTGGACTAAGTCTCAGGGAATTAGCAAGTGTTGTCACCTGGCAGGAGTCCCTGAAATCAGAACTTCCTGAAAGAGAACCTAACAAGGTCATTGAAGCTGTGGGCTCTTCAAGGAAGAGACTCTTGCCCGGAGGTGCTTCCCAGCCTGGCGCCCCCGATCCCTGCGGTCTTTCTGAAACGCAGGCCCCAGTGCAGCAGGGACGGGCTGTCATTGGGCCTCATCAGCAGTGCCCCTCTAGCTACAGCAAGTCTGCTGTGGCTCAGTGGGCTCCCAGGTCGCCAGGCGAGGTCTGCGGGGGCTGCGTAACCTTCTCAGCCATCGGGGCTGGGTGGCCAAGCAGCCCCACCCGAGGGGTGGAGCCCTGCTCTTAGCACTCAGCTGCCCTCGGAGGCCAAGTCTCCCTGACACTGCCACATCCTTCCTGACCCCCAAGGCCCAGGCGCTCCTGGTCCTGGTCCGGTTCCTGTTTGCGGTCCGCCCATGAGGGGCCCAGGACCACACTCTGGGGGGGCAGTGACAGCACTGAGGGCACAGGTTGGGGAGAGAGTCTGGGGAGCCCTCCCCACGGGCCGCACCTGGTACTCTCAGGTGGAAGTTATCCTAAGAACGCCTGTTGGGGGAAGGTTGGCAGACCATCCTTCACAAGTGTCAGGTATCACTGCAGAGCAGGTCGCAGTGGCCCAGCACTTACCTGGGAGACCCACAGGACACCTGAGCAGCCTGGTCTTGGCCACTGTCCTGTGCCCGGCTGCGTCTGTCCCCTCGACTCCGACTGGCATGATGTGATAGGAGTTCTGGGAGACAGGCCCTGTGTTAGCCTGGGCGGGGCTGCATGGCTCGGGTTCCTCGTGATCAGGTCCTACTCACCCACTGGCTGACATAGCAGCTGCCGTAGGCTGCCTCCAACACCACGGAGCTGCCGGGGCCCTCCGTCACCTGGGTGCCACAGCCAGAGTCATTCTGCAACAGGTGCAGCAGCCCATGGTCATCTGGGGAGGGAGGGGCAAAGTCACAGCGGCCAGTCACCACGGTGACCATGCAGGGAGAGGACAACCCCAAGGGGCAACCGCCAAGGAGAGGGGTAGACCAGAGGGACCTGGCTTAGGAGTGAGGGGTCATGTCTACAGGGAAGCTGCAGAGTTTACCAGCAGGGACAGGGTTAGGACAGGAAGCTAGAGGGCGGCTGTAGGTGGCAGAGGAGAAGAGCCTCTGCCCAGGCCAGCAGGTGAGTCGTCACACTTACCCCACACTATCAGTGCCTGGGGAGTCTCTGTCTCCTGGTCAGGAGGGTGGACAGTGTACCGGAGGCCCTGAGGCCCACAGTCAAGATCATCATCATCTTCCAGCACCTCGGGCTCACGCAGGCCACTCAGGGCCAGAGACAGGGGCAAACAGAGCAAGAGGGGCCACAGCCACATGGCACCACCACGAGCCTCCTAGGGGTCAGTCCCACGGGCACTAAGTCCCACAGGTCCACCTCCTTTGCGAGCCAGGCTCCAGGCTCTGGAGGTTCCCTTATATAGAGGTGTACAGTTGTCACCGCAGGTGGGAGCCCTGTAGGGAGGGGCTTCCTCCAGCTTCATTCATTTAGGCCACAGGCTGCAGCTGCCTCAGTTTAAGCAGCACAGCCCAAGCGGCCTGCAGAGCCCAGGAAAACTTGGTGCCTGTTAGCTCCAGGAGGCCTCCCAAGGGTGCTCAGGGCAGCACAGACTACTCCCTGGCCTCAGGGGACCTTCCTATGGACCCTGCATGTCTGAGCGAGGCCCAACTCTGCCAGTCTCATGCCAGGTGACCCAGGTAGGCTACCACCTGGTGGCATCATTGTTCCCACCTGTAACTTGGGCACAGTAGCTCCTGGCTGGAGTGTCCGTGTCATGTGCCTGGCACACTGCTTTTCAGCATGGTCAGGGCCCTCCAGGACCCTGCCACCTTCCCCACAGGTCCTAAGCTTCAGAAGTCACTGCACAATTGGAGCCTGGCTTGAAATCCCAGAAAAATATCAATCAGTTCCTGATAAAAGCTGACTTAGAACCTTTCCCTGGTCCTAAGAACGAAATCCCCCCAAGGAGTCCTGATGAGTCGCAGAGCTTTTATTTGCCATTTACGTGTATTTCAGTTACATTTTCATAGATATGTTGCGGTTTCCTACCTGCCTGCTTTCCACACCTCTGCTCTCCTCAGGAGCTACGGTGCATGCCCTGCACTGGTCAGTTTGGTCATGGGGCCAGGACAGGTGGTGGGGGCATCCGGAGAGGTGTAGGGATGGGGACCCACTCCTCCCTGTGAAGTGATAGCAAGGACTTCCACCAACGTCCCCAGATGGTCTCCTAGTATATTTAGCCTAATTATCATATGAAAAAATTCCCCAAGCTGGCTAAAAATCTTAGCCAAAGCCCTGAGCATTACACTCAGGTATCTCTAATTCTCTCTCACTAATTAAAGCGAACAAATGAGCCTGTGTTCTCCCTGGGAAATTATACAGTCTATTAACCACATGGGGATGACAACATTGAGGGACTGTGAACTCTGCCCTGCCACCACAGGTGGGACATGGCTTTGGGACACTCCCCACTGGGGTTGAATTTGGCCACTGGCGCATCACATCCAGTGTCCTCGCTCACAGCACTGGCTACACCGGACTGTGATGACCACTTACTAACTCAGTGTCCCTACTGGAAGCCCTTGGGGACAGGGACCGTGTTCTGTTTCATTGCATCCTGGATGCCTGGAGCCCAGTGCTCAGTGTTCTTGAGTAAAGAATGAATCGATGACATGCTTTCACCAGTGGTGTGTCCAAGGCTAACTCGCCTACTTGAAAATGTGGTTTCCAGACCTCGCAGGTTCCTCCTATTTTCAAAGATGAGCAGATTCCTAACCTTTAGTAACTATACGTGTGATTGCAAGCATGAGGGACTGAGGGTTGGATTTGTGGCCGATGTCCCAGGAGCTAAAAGGCCAGTCTCCCAGCTAGACTCACTAGGGCTGCTCCCTAGAGCAATGAAGAGTCGAGGAACTGCCCGTTTTGCTAAGGATTGGAGGCAGAGGTGGATATATGGATCTGGCCGCAAAGTCTGAGTCATTTCTTGCCAGCTCTGTGACCTCTGCCAATGAGTTACAGCTTTTACATCTGCAAAGTGAGATAACAACACCCACCTCACCTGGGAGATGTTCTTATAACTTCCAGGTTTTGTGAGATGAAATGAGACAATGTAAGCACAGTGCTTATCACACAGCCTGCTGCACAATCATTGCTCATTAAATCGTCACTGACGTCAACAGGACCGTGATGCGTGCTTGGAAATGAAGGTGAGATGGGAGGCAAACAAGAAGCAGGTGCCATGCAACGGGCATCTTTGATCAGTGGGGAGTCTGCAGATCGCCTGTACCTGTGGGACTGCGTCCCTAGTGAGGTTGTGTGTTTCCTTTACAGTCAAGAAACAAACTCAAGTCTGCAGCTGTGTCGTGGTATCTGGAATCCTCCAGGATCACGTGGTCACCGGATGCCACAGTGGGTCAGGATGAATCTCAAGGTAACGCCAGAAGGACTGGGATTAGGTGATGTCATGCTCATATCTGTGCTAAATCCCCTGAGGAGGTCTTCATTCAACTACCACGGGTGGGGCAGGTCCAGCAGCCGGCGGGCTGTATATGGCAGCGAAATCGTTGGGTCTGGTCCTGCCAAGGCAACAGCAGGCGGGACTCGAAATTCAATAATTTTAATGAAATGCTTGACCAAATCTAGCAGGCTAAGTTTTAAGTTGATAATTTTGTATGGCTCACGAATGATGTTATAAATATCCAAATGGTCCTTGGCAGGAAAAAGGTTCCCTACCCCCGATACACCATTCAGTTTCCAGAGAGAAAAGCACTGATAGCGTGATATGCACCTTGAGAAGCCCCCGTTCTAACCACTAAACACAACCCTCCCCCGATTTTCTCGGAAGGACTGGCGGGGATATTTGTCTGGAGGCCCCTGCGAATGTTTCCATTTAATCTAGAGGTGAGGCCCTCCCTGGAGCAGGCGGGGCTGGGGCGGGGCTCGTTTCCTCATCCTGGGGCGTTGGGGCACCTGATGCGCGGTCCTCGGGGTGTGGCATCTGCATGGTCCCCACGCTGCGGCTGGAGTGTGTCCTCCCGACGGGGCGAGGTGTCAGGTGCACGTGAAGAAGAAACACGACCCCGCCAGGCGTGGGGGACGCTGGGGCCCTCGGGTGCCTACCGCGACTCGGAGGGGCGGGGGGCACCCAGCGGCTCTGGGCGTGGGGCAGGAACGAGGACACTTGTCTTCTGAAGGGCGGTGCCAACCGAATTTCCTGTAAGAGCGGACAAGCTTTCCCTTTTCAACAAGAAAGGGTGGAGTGTGAGCTGAGCTGGCTGGGAGGCGGTGAGCCCGTCAGCAGGTGCCTCATCCTGGGCCACACGACCCCTCGGNGAGCGGACAAGCTTTCCCTTTTCAACAAGAAAGGGTGGAGTGTGAGCTGAGCTGGCTGGGAGGCGGTGAGCCCGTCAGCAGGTGCCTCATCCTGGGCCACACGGCCCCTCCCCAGTCCCACCGCCTGGCTGCCCCGCACCCACCGCTCAGATGCTTTTCACCCTCCTGCCCCAGCCATGACCACCACCAGCAGGGGCTAAAATTAAGGACTTTGGGGTGGGGATTTGCCAATACATTTGACATGAGTTTTCTGGCCCATAAGGTGTCGCTGTTGGCACAGGTGCCCTCCTTAACTATGTTCATCTACTTAAGCGTGGGACACCAGTCACGCTGGATTAGGGCCCACATGGATGGCCTCACTTTAACTCGATTACAGCCGTACAGGCCTGTTTCAAATAAGGCCCCATCCTGAGTGGAGGCGCTGGGGTGAGGACCTCTCAGCTGTGTTGGGCAGGGAAACAGGTCAACTGAGAATACCTTGCACCCATCGTGACACGTGTCAGTCATGTGAACCTTAGTTTGGGCCATTTTATTTTATTTTTAGATGAAGTGAGAACTGTGCCTGCTAATGCCTCAGTTTCTTTACTTTACAATCTTATTTCCTTGTTAAAATTGCTTTAGAAAATTCTCAGCCTTGCTTTGGCTCAACTGAGGGGCTTTTAGATTTCTTTTGGTTTGGGGGGAAGGGGCCAGTTATGTCCCCAAAGGCTGGTGGTTGGTCCTCGTGGCCGCCTAGTTTTGGAGCAGGGACATGGCAGGATGGAGAACTTAGGGGGAAGATGCAGGCAGCAGGGACGCCGTGCTCCCCGGCCACTGCCCGAGGGGGTCACAAGCCTAGCACAGCTGTGCTCGCTCACCGGCGCCGGCCGGGCACTTTCTCACCAGGATTGTGTGTGATGCTCTCTTCCACACTCACCTGCCTTACATTCTGCCCCAGCCCAACTGTGATCAGGACACAGCCTTGCCTCCCTGGCCACGCGCCGTGGGTGCCCGGTTTCCTCCCCTCGGGCCTGCAGCCTCGTCGTCGCTGTTGGACCAGTTCCTCGCTTCTCCAGGTCCTGCTCCTGCAGCCAGTCCTGTGAGCGAGAAGGCTGGATGCGGTGGGCCGGGGGCCAAGCCTGACCCCGGGGGAGTGTTGGGAGGCCACGGCCCACCTGTGGGGGCAGAGTTCACAGTCCCTCGATGTTGTCATCCCCATGTGGCTAATGGCCATGTACTTTCCCAGGGAGGGCACGGGCTCATTTGTTCTTTTATTAGCTAGAATTAGAGGTACCTGGGTGTAATGCTCAGAGCTTTGGCTAAGATTTTTAGCCAGCTTGGGAAATGTCATCAGTGAAAAATTAATATGAAAAACGTTTAGAAGGCCCGAAACAATCATCTCCCTTTAATAACAGAGGGCAGGCTTCATAAACACCCTTTATTTCCCCTCAAGCGGAAAGTGAGCAGCTGCTGGGCTCTTAGATCTCACCCTCTTTCCAAACTGCACACTGGAACTGTTGCTTATTTCATTTTTCTTCTTAGACTCCGTCGGGTTGTTGGCGTGCATGTGACAGGTCCTGCCTTTCCCTTTATTTAAAAAGACAGGAGACTGATGCCCTTTGGAGGTAAAGGAATTGCTTCTCATTTGGTTGAAAATTATGAGCTTCGAAGATGGATTTTTCCATTACATACTGAGCCGTGTTTATTGCCTTCTCTCCTGTGTGTAGAAGGGAAAGAGACTGATGCTCAGAGCTTAATAGCAAAGGCCATAGGAATTGAGGGGCCTTTCCAAAGACACCTCCTTTTAACATCTGGGACCTGGCCACTTCCATAGGGAGTGGGGAATGACCTCCCTGACCTTGTCCACACTTCCTCCCTGATCAGACATCTATTTTGTGCTATTTTTTTTGGTTAGGAATTGAAAAGAGTAATAATAATAAAACTCAAAAGAACAAATCCAAATTTTTAACCAGAAAATAAAATTTTAGACTTAGACTATTTGAGTTG